GCTTCAACGAACCCTAGGTGCCTATGTGTTGGCCAGGAACGATGGGGTAGAGAAAATAAGGGGAGGTGTTTGCGATGTCAACATGTACGATGACGGAGAGGCACTATCCTACACGGTTTCCGTAACCTGCTTTCGTTGGTAAGGCAGGGGGGCGCGGGAGCTTTCCTCCGGGCTTGTAGTGGTACGAGTCGAATCTCAGCTCACGGAGTTTTTTCCGTAGAGAAGTGAACCAATAGACATGTCTCAATGGCTAGCTTTCGATCAGAGGCATGCCGGGTCGACCAGGAACTGCTTACTTGTGCTTGGCTAGTTGGGCCCTTGTAATCCACTAATTAAGATGGAATCTCCCTCTTGTTCTCTTGTCCATGCTCGATCATTCCCGTGGCATACCCACTGTGCCACTTTGATCTACCATCCCGAGTGTCCGAGGTATGCCATTGGATAATTACCAGAGGAAGCAAATCGGAAATGGGGCTTGCCTTGAAGTGGCGAACCTGCAAGGAGGAGTGTGCCAGTGTGCCTCGGAGCCCCGGCTTGGACGCGACGACGAGCCACAGTTTCGACCCCGCGAGGCAGGTCAAACAGGCTTTCATCTTACATGTGCCGTCGCAGCCACGAGCTGGTGAGCGTCAAATGGCCCTTGAAATCTCTGGGCTGTTGGCGATTCTCCACCACCGCGTCATCACTGGGTTGCTTCATTGAGATACTTTTCGTTGGAAGACGGGAGTTCTTCTTCGCGGCCCAATCCTGACGGTTCCTAGGTCAATCGAATTGTCAGTTACGATTCGAGTTCTGGAATCCTGGGACTGCATCGTCCCATCTTTGCGGCTTGCCAATATTTCCGTGGTGCATTACGCTCCAATGAACGAGCCTTTTTCAGGAGCAAAGATGATCTGTGACCCTGTAAACTCCAATGGAATTCCTGATCTCGATTTGAAAGAATCCCATTCTGCTTAGCGATCACATTTCTGGACCACCACTCGACGCTAGTTTAGCGCATGAGTTATCATCTTCTTCGGAGCACAATCTCCACGAATTTCCACGGACATTGAAGTTTCTGTCCTTGTCCCTCTCCAATTTCTTCCACCCGTGCCACTCATTATCCTGCTTCTCACAGGAGGTGTGGCGCAGTTGACCCTCTTGAGTTGCCGGCAACGAGTAGTCACACTTTGGGGTTTAGAGCAACTGCTCAATCATGCCACTCAGAACTGGGGTCATTGCCTCTTCTTGACATTCCCTTACTTGGCTAACCCACCGTCAGCTGATTGGCTTCAAGTATCACTATGCTGCAAATCTCTAGCGTACAGTCACGAGGGAACAAGCTAGAGCCGAAACTCGAACCACAGATGGTCCTCCGTCCGGGCCGATCGGCCTATCCCGCACAAGTTTCACCCGGCTATCAGACTAGTCCCAGAAGTGAGGGGTTTGGAGATGCTTCTACCTAGCTTATCCCGCACAGCTCTCCAAACTCTAACCATTGACAGTAAAAGGCCGTCCGCGTCTGCAGCTAAGTACGCACAGTGTATCGGTAATGCAAAGCCTGTCTGCTTGAGCCGTGCATCTGTAATGCTGTAGCTGGTCTGACATTTTGATGTCGGATTGTGTTCTGTTAGGACAGGTGCTACAGAGTAACGACAGCATAGCGCTCCCCTTGATAGAAACAAAAGTTCCAGTCTTATCAAGCTCCTGGCATTCTGGCACTTGTACCTCAACCTCAAGTCGTTCACTCAACCACCTCACTTCTACCGGGCACGCTTTTCGTAAACACCTCGAAATCTTGAATCAGTATTTATCTGATCCCGCAGCTGCGGCTCGCTCTTTCAGGATTGTGTCCCGATGCCAGCGTCTGAGCCATCTTCGACTTGAACGGACTGACCGTCAAGATCCAACCCCCAACCAGGTCCGGCCATCGATACGATAGAATCGAACGCCATCATGGGAAATCACGATGGTCCGATCCAAATTCTACTTGCAACGGTTTCTCCAGGCTCGGCTGGTGTCGCTCTTTTTCTCGCTCTCTTCGCCGAAAACAGGCGCATGCTAGTGTTAAGTCATGCGCTATCTGCGGCGTTTGGTTGGCACCAGAAACAAAAGACTCGTGACAACGGTTTTAATGACCGTCGCAAGGGAAGTTAGGAACCTGCCACTACGCTCTATTGTTTTCGGTCCAACTGAATGAGACTAAGCTGCAATTCAGTGGTGCTCTTGACACGGATTGTAATTATTTGCATTTACTATGCGATTCGAGGCCCAAAGTCTAGTCCCAACTGTGAATTGGACACAATATGAAATCATGACAAATCGGAGTTTAGGACAGGCCTACATATACATGGCTCCTGATAAAATCGCATGCAGTAGATCGTCAGATGGCTAGCTTGTTTGCTTTATAGCAAAGTTTACGTTGCTCAGAGTCGTCTCATTGAATACTTGAGGCGGTAAAGAACCAGCCATGATAATGGCCGGCCACATCGACAACTTTAGGGAATGAGGTTTGCTTCCTGGCTTATGATTCGCTTCATTGCGTAATAAGGTGACAAGAGAAAGACTTGAACGACGGCATATAATTCTTTGGGGGCATCAGGGACTTCAAGTGGCTGACTGAGTCGTTTCAGAAGACAAAGTGCCACAGACAAACTAGTCATCAATCCGCTGGTTGTGTTAAGAGGCACAGGTATTTAACATTCGCCTACTGTAGTTCATTCAACAATCATGAGCACCGTACGACCAACACCAACGCTATTCGTATGTGGTAGCTTCAAGTCGCACCGTAATCGCAACTTATGCTAACTTCGGATACCCCGTTTTGAAGACATTTTCCGGGTCGAACTTCTGCTTGATCTCCCTGAGCCTTGACAGGGTGTCCTCGCCATATGTTGATACCCAATCCATGTCCCTTTCAGGGCCCAGGTTACGGTTCCCGTATGGAAGCATTTGGCCTTGTTCTGAGAGGGAGTCGACCAAATCATCCGCCCACTTCTTATACTCTTCATATTCCGCCGCCTGTGCGGTGGTATCGATGACACCACCCGAGGGAGCTGCTATGCGATGCCTCTTGCGCAGAGGATAGCACACTGACGGGTTCGCCTCGATGGCTCGACCATGAGCGGCATGGATGACAGTAGCCGAGGTTGCACCCGGTGGTGAATTGCTGCCGAACGCACTGGCTGTTCCTGGAGTGAAATATTCGAACATCCTCAGTCGAGGATACCAATGGACATTAGTCGGCGAGGGGATTGCATTGAAGAACGTAAAGTCGTCCACTACAGGCGTAATAAGTTATTGTCGTCTGTATAGGAGGGCTGCGGTACATACCTTCTGCCACCGTGTTAAGAACTGGCGTGCCAAGAGACTTCATCTTCTCAAAGAAAGCCCAACCCTCTTCCAGGTCATCATTCTCTGACGTCCAAGCAAACAACCAGGCAAATACGGGACCAACGCCTGGGAGAGCCATGTGAGTGGCTTCGCCAGTGAAATTGACAGGCAAATTCCTCTCAAATTCACCAAACTTCTTCAACACTTCGCCAACCTGATCATTGGGAAATCCGAGAAAGCCCGCCAAGAAGCCTGTTTGGGGATACACCTTGAGTTGCAGCTCGACTACAACACCAAAGTTGCCGTTGCCAGCGCCGCAAAGAGCCCATAGCAAATCAGAATGATCGTTCGTGTCGACGATGTCGCCGTTCGCGAGAACCACACGCGCACCGAGGATTTGGTCAGCGCCTAGCCCATGGTAAGCGCTCGTGTATCCGTAACCACCCCCCATAGCCCAGCCAGCGATGCTGACAGTCGGACACCAGCCGTGGGGGGTAACGAGCTTGTGCTGTTGCAGAAAGCGCGCGAGTTTGATGCCCAGGATGCCGCCGCCAACGCGGACGGACTTTTTATCCTCGGCGATGAGGATGCTGTCGAGACTTCTCAGATCCACGATGACGCCGTCTTGGCTCTGTGCCTGCCCGAATGTCAAGTCATGCCCACCGCTCCTGAGGCCGAATGGGATGTCTTGAGCTTTCAGCTCCTTAATGACGGCCACGACTTCAGCTTCGGTCCTCGGCCTGATGATTGCGAACGGCTGTTGGGTCATGTTCGCGTTGAAGAAGCTTCGAACTTCCTCATACTTCTCGGCCGAGTTCGTGTATACCAAAAGATTGGAGAAGTTCGTTGTGAGGTTTTTCAGCTTGGGTGCATCTGAAGCGATCTGCTCCAGCGTCGATGCTGCGGGGTGAGACCCCCGGAACTCTGGTGAAGCCTCAAGTGATGCCATTGTGGTTGACTTCTCGATATGGGATGTTGGTTGACATTGCGAAGTGTGAGGTCACAACGGCGCTTATGTATGTCCCGTAAATTCTATGCGCGGAAGGGGATCGGCTGCCAAAGTGTGCAGCACTCATCTAGGAATCTAAACAGTGACTATTAATTGGACAGGAACCCGAGAGATTTAGCCATGCTACCGTGGGGGAGGGGTCGGCTATGCTGACGTGAGATTTAAGCAGGGCAGTATATGGTTTCTTGACGAAAGTCCCCAAAAGAGGACGCGTACAGATGGACGTTTGGCCACGTCGCGGTCGGTAACAGCCGCGGATTAGTTGAGGAGCTGTCAATCTCATGTCATTTTGATGCTTCCTGAAGGACCCAGAAGGAAAGAGCCACTGTAATAGGTCGAGGCCTTGAGCTGTAAATAGTCGAGAGGGGTAACGATAGGCTGGGCTTGGCATTACTGGTAGCTCGAAATCGTGAGTTGTGTATTATGCGGCTCGAGATGCGCTTGAGACCAATGATGGATTCTGGACTAGGTGTTCACAGAAGGTAAGATGGTGTAATCAACTCCTGGATCCAACGTGGCGGTCTAGACATGGTAGATTGGCAATCGACGGCCTCCGACGGCCTCCAACCGCTTCGCATTGTCTGCATTAGAACTCGACAGATCCCAGACACCTATCCAGCCGGAGTGAAGCTCGCCGACTTCTGTTCAAGTGGCATGTGCTTGCGTCTCGAGACCATCACTATGTGCTGGCTCTCGGAATTCTGGCGACGTGTAGTACTAGCTTTTCGAAAACCTTGATACCGGCAGAATCATGGACATTTTCGGTCCAAATGACATCCTCGAGCTTGGCCTTGGCTTCGGGCCATGTAGGTCCCAGAGAGTCTCGCAGATTGGCCAGCTTCGGCAAAAGCCAACGGTGGTCCTGCTCTTCAAAGACGGATATGGCACCGATAACAAGGCTCCAGGCCAGTAGGAGTTTCGTGGCAGCACATGTGGAGGCTGAGATCTCGAAGTTCTTGCATGCTGACCTAAGCTTGGTAGTCAGGGAGGTGAACTGGAATTTTGCACCTTGTACCTGGAGGAAGAGGGTGGTGATGTAGCTGATCATCCCAAGGCGACCTAGTTCGGCCAAGGCATTGTGTGCTGTCGTCTCCGAATACAACAGCCGGTATTGAACGCAAGTCATGAACTCTTGAAACAGGTTCGGGTCAATCTTGCGATTGGTGTGGTATAGTGCGGTCGCCAGGCGGGAGAAGTCGTGGAGATCTTGGAAGACGTTGCCCAAGCGACTGTCGGCGGCGTCTAAGAGAAGTCGTATGCTCGAAGAGCCAGGGCAGACCTCGGAGCCAACAGGGACTTTGCCCAGTATAGGGGAGAAAGCAGGCTCCCATGAGAAGGTATCCCGGAAGTAGAGCGGTTTCTCGCCGGTGCATAAACTCCAGCCAATGTCCACCCTTTGCTTCGTCAGATGTTGGGCATGAGATATCGAGGAATGGCACGTACCGGCAGATCTTGACCTGTAATTGAAGATTGTGAGAGAAGCTTTCGATTCCGCCCCTTAGCTTCACTATCTGACGCATGCCTTGGATATGTGCGGCGGCATTGTCGCGCTGTCCGAAGATTTCGGCCACCATACACATGGACACAATCGTGGCGATGGTCGAATCGGCCAAAGCCATGTCTTGGTCCGCAATATTTTGGTTCAACAGCTGGAGTGTCTTCCAAATATGGAAGTTGGTGTGTTTGCTTGGGCTGTCTCCTTTGACAGTGTCGTTCATCAATCCTACCGTGAATAAGATCGAGTGCAGAAACGCGGCATCTGTTAGAAGCCAGTAGAACCACGGCGTCTTGCTCTCGTCGTACTGCAGGCACCACTCGATGGGGTACATCGTCTCTTTAACGACGGCGTAAACTATGACCAGGTGAGCATAACGACAAACTCGGAGCAGGGGACAAACCCACATTCGAATAGCATGCCTCGAGAGGCCGCGTCAATATCGTCGGCAAATTGGAACATGTAAAGGTCATTAGGTGTGCGGAATACATGCTCGTACCAGGCAATCTTGTAGAGTTTTTGTTTTCTCGGCTCTTTAACGAGAGCAGTGAGTGACTTGGGCGCAGGTGGTTCCTCTGGTTCCTGTGGGGGTTGAGGACTAGTCTGGTTGACCCATTTGGTCGAGCGCTTTTGGCCGCCACGAGACGGGCGTGTATTCTTGCCTCGCATGACATGACTGCGTATGAGTTTCCGATCGTCTGTCGTGGGCTTTCCAGATGTATCTGTGATGACAAAGGCAAATCCCTTGCTGGCTGCAGTAGCAACGTTAGAGTGGATGATCATGGGTAGATGGATTAGAGATCATACTAGGCCGTTTCTGGTTTCCCATCTTCAACCCAGCGGATCTCAAGGGTCCTATTGCCTCTTCCAGTCAATGATCGAGTGGAGTTCTCGTATGTAATCAGCAATGGCTTGATGGAGACCTGACGGAGCTAAGGGTGCAGTCGAAACGAGCTCTGGGATGCTCTTCGAGCTGAGTTTGAAGTGAGAAGACCGGTAGGGAGGAAGAACTGTTTACCCAAAGGGGAAAACAATCGAGGAAACGGGTTACGGAGCGTTCAAAGGCAACGAAGACCAAGCGTAAGACGGCCGGATTTACCCTGCAATCTTGCCTTATCCTGGCCCAATCCCCCCCCTCACTACGACAAAGTAAGCTGGCACGACACGACCAAAGTCCCTTCGCCGAGTAGTGATTGTTGCCTTCTTCCGGCCTAGCGCCGATCCTTCCGGCCTCAGCCCCGCTCGCTGGCGGCCGCTCCGCCACGTGATATCCGGCGGTTTAGTGGGCCAAGGCCCTGGCGGGGGATCCGTACACGCCGTCCACACACCGATTGCTTTCCGGTCTTGGACAAGCCCTGCTTCTCACGCTTGATTGATGTCCATATTAGGTAACCAGTCGGTCTTCCCTTTCGAGACAGCAATCCATCACCAGGCATCCACGATGCCTCAACTTCAGCCATCTCTAGCGTTTCAGTGCCTCTGCCCTCCGGTCTACGCGCGTTCAAGAGTGCAAATTGCCTTACGTCCCAAGATTGAAGCTGCTCATACCTCAGACGACTTGAAAGCTATATATTCAGCACGAATTCGACGATGAATCTCAACATGCTGCTCTGCACAGATCAATGCAATCACATCAACAACCGCAACAACCACAACACCTTACTTCTTCTCACATCACCTCACAACTCATCATGACGAGCTCACTTGAACTCACTCCCCTGACAATGGGGCCAGGCAGACTGTTCCTTAACTCCCAGTTCTGTGCCACAGTCCGAACACCACCAAAGGACCTCTCCCTCTCCGGGAAGACGGCTATCGTTTCTGGAGCCAATATCGGGCTGGGCTTCACTGCCGCACGCCAGCTGCTCGATCACAATCTCTCACGCCTCATCATCGCCGTTCGATCCGCTGAAAGAGGAGAGGCTGCCGCAAAGACCCTGAGAGAAAGCCACCCCGACGCTACGGTCGAGGTCTGGTCTCTAGACATGCTCTCATACAAGTCCATCCAGGACTTTGCCAACCGCTGTTCCACCTTGCCCCGGATCGACTACGTCATCTTGAATGCCGGTATGGTTCAGGAAGACTTTAGGCTCTCGCCGGCAGGCCATGAGCAAGTCTTCCAGGTGAACTACCTGTCGACTGCCCTCCTCGCCATCCTACTCCTGCCAGTCTTGAAGTCCAAGAAAGCTTCAGACAAGCCGAGCAGATTGACAATCGTCAACTCGGGCACCGCGTTTATGGCTAAGTTCCCGGAGCAGGACAAGATCCCCATGATAGCCGCATTCGACGACGAGAAGTCTTTCAATGCAACGGATCGGTATTCGACGTCGAAGCTCTTGGGTCACCTCTTCATTATCAAGCTCGCCGAACACGTCCGAAGGGGAGACGTCGTCGTCAACCTCGTCGACCCGGGTCTCTGTAAAGGATCAGGACTTCACCGCCACGTCGGCAGCCTCATCAAGACGATAGCGGAGGTGGGAAAGAGCTTGACGGGGAGAACTCTGGACGTCGGAGCGTCAACATACCTTGATGCGGCCGTCGTTCGAGGAGAAGAGACTCACGGAAGTTACTTGATGGACTGGAAAATCTTTCCGTAAGTGCTGACTGCCCACGCCCTTTCGTCGATGGACCTCGCTAACCGCTCGCTGACAAAGCTTTGCCAACATCATCTATACACCACAGGGCAAGACCGCCCGAGAGCAATTGTGGGAGGAGACTTTACAGGAATTGGACTTTGCCGGGGTGCGCTCAATCCTTCGCTCCATGCAGTAGGACTCGCGATAAGGACCTCGCTTCCTTCCGGGCCCTTTTGCCCCGTCAGCCTGGGACTTGGCATTACCTGGGGAACATGTTGGGTCGTATGCAGAAAGTCTAATTGCTGATTGATGCAGTCGCCTCGGATGGATGCAATAGTTTCTGGTGTCAGTCTACCTGCTTTTCTTGCTGCGTTTCCGATTAGGTGTATTGGGTGGATGGGCTTCGCTTAGATATCTCGTATCATCTTTGGTCATTCGATGGGTATTCTGGTCTACATAGAGTAATGAATTGACAGTCTCACTTCTGTACCGATTTGTCAGTTCCAACAACGCCCGCTTGTGAACGCCTCAACCGCAGGCAGTCCATCATTATGTCTGGCAAGTGGTGGCGTCAGGATGCTGTGGCGAGCTGGTATGGTGGCAAGCCGTGATCCACGAACAAGGAAATGAGTATCATGACATCTATCTCGAAGGCTCAGAGACAAAGATAAATCTCAAGCTACCATTCATCTACTGAAGTCCCAATCCTTCATATCGGATGAACCGTCCGTTACTGCGCAATTGGCAGGTGCAGGAAGGCGGAAGAGGTGTGTAGATCGAAGCGAGAGCTCACCATAAGGCGCAAGATCATCAATATACTGCCTCTTCATCGGTGCAGCGGACACCATCTATTGCCGTCTCGCAGTCCACGAAGGTCTGGTCCCGGTACCAGAATCCTGTAGCCTGGCTACGGCAATTTCCTGCTTGACATAACAGCTTATGCCAAGGTGCCTCACCACTTACTCACGATTGGTGTGGCAAAGCACCTTCTTAGTTGAGATGGTACGTTGTATTGCTATCCAAACTGAAGGGGGCTAGGCTCGGTCCCTCCAACGATGAGTGAGCTTCCAACTTTGCATTACAATACTCAGGAGAGCAATGGCATAGCGACCCGTGAGAACTAGCAAACGATCCTCAAGTCTTGGCGATCTTACCTTTTGGATGGCTCGCGATAGGGTATCACCGGTTGAGTGCCATCGCCGAGCTGTCGGATACGTTCACTCGGGGTTTGTCTTTGTCCTGAGATGGAAGTGATATTGCAGCCGAACGTCACCGGCGTGTGGTTCCAGATCTCTCTTCGAAGCCCCTCGGCTTGTACGTAGCTGAGCGATGAAGCGGTATGATGACCACTTCTGGACCTGCGCCCGCTGCCAATGCGCCGAATCATTTGTAGAAGGCATCCAATTTCTGACATCCCTCTCTGGCACTCCGCAGGCCAAGAACAGACCGAGCCAGGGGACCGCTGCGGGTGACCCTAGAGCCAAACGACCCTGGCGATTCCGCACGATGGATGTCTTTCAACTCCAGGCGCAAAAGGTCTACGGCGATTCCTCAGCTCGCCCAGCGGAATATCTTCCAAGACTTTTCCAAGACGGCAAGATGCGCCCATACGAAGCATTGGCATCGCCAAGGAGAAAGCCCAAGTTGCCGCGAACCGAGGATTCTGCAGTGGTTCACGCATCGTGGGTCTTGGAAGAAGTGTCGTTTGAGCATGCACAACAGAGTTATCCAGGCGAGCGTCAAGAATGTAATTCATCAAGGGGAAGTAAAAGTAACCTTCAATTATTGTTATTCAAAAAGTCATCTAGGCTAGAGGTTAAAGGCGAGTCATTGGCCTAGTTTGCGCCAAGAGGCCATTTCGAACTCACATCGATTACGGAAGCTTCTTAACAGTAGCCCTAGCGCAGGATTGACAATTTCAACTATGAGGATGCAAACTATTCGCGTGGTTCATGACTGATTCACGGGCTGCCACATCTGCCGCCACGCCGCCCGAAGAGCAAGAAATGGAACCAAGGATATGGCTCGCGATGGCCCAGCGCGGAGTCGCGCCGCACAAACGTCCCTGACGTCTCTTGGCACGCTTAACAAAGTGCCCGCTTCGATTTCGAGCACATAATGAATGATAAGGGATCACGCGCCTATTGCGATAACAGTGGAGGGAATTACACCATGTCGGGTTGGCCAACATCCTTGATGCAACATCAAGTTCGCAAGGCGCGGTGTACCCAATCGCAGCGTCGGTTTTTGACCTGCCGAAAGAAGACCAGTGCCGGTCGGGAATGTACTCTTGCGCGAACGACAAAGCAACGGACGGGAAAGCTGTTGGCCTGTTGTGCGTGTGCGGTCTTGAAAATGGCGGGTGGCTCGTCCCTGCAAGCCAAGACTTCAATGTCACAGGGCAAACGCCGCGGCTGGCTGTGATTTCGAGGGCTTTATCATCGGCCTGTGAGCTGGCGCGAAAGCATCATGTTCCGGAGGGAGTTCCGCACCGGCAATCCTACCGGCGAACATCTATGAGGTTTGTATCGTATCCGACGCAAGTCCGACGTTCGTCTGGAATCGAGATGTAAAGTGCCCATTGTCTGCGAGGAAGAGTAAGTGTAAAGATAGATCCGTGAGCGCACGTCAAATGCTGGTTAGTATTTCCGTACTGGTAGGGTATAGACCACAAAATCGACAGCAATCTGGCCCAAATCGCACGGAATGACCAGCCAATCCTGCGGCAGAAGACTGACAGGGATGACTGATAGGACGCGTTGCTTGATCCATCTAATAAGCTGCCGATGTTTGGCGCCAGTCTGGATCGAGCATGGATGGTGGCCGTCAAAAAGTTCCTCCAAAAGCAGTATTCTGCGTCCCTCCGACCGCCCCCGGCCCAACTGGCTGAAGCTCTGAACACAGATTAATCAACTTGCCACCTTGTGGCTGGTCGGATGATACGACTCCTCTTTGTTCACGGCTTTTGAATGGTCAATCCGGTTGCAAATTCCCCGTCAATCTGGCTGATAAGAGTTGGAGAGACGGGCTGGGGGAGAGAGAGGGGAGAAAGGACAGACAGGGGTTGGTCTCCGTAGCAGAGCAGGGCTGCATTGATGGGTGGGGGACAACATCAATACCCTCTGCCTCACTCTCAAGACCCAAGAGCCACCTCTGATGTTGAACAGACGTGAGGCTCTGATAGCTTCAGCGCCTCTCTTGAAGGCTGCAGAGATGGTGTGCATTTCCCCGGACGGCGACAAGCTTTCGGGCAAGATCTCTTGATTTTTCTTGTCCTTCTTGATGGCAGGTCTTGGACGTCTTGGACGCTCTTGGGAGACCTGGGGGGATGTCGTGAAAGTCTTGGGCAACGGGCTTGGGCAAAGCTTGGGGGGTCTTGGGGGTTCTTGGGAGAGGGACGCCACGTCCAGGGTCCTTCGATCATATCCTTCTTGAGCCATCACCGCGAGCTACCAAGGGCCTCGAGTCGTCTTTGCCGTCGACTAGCGCGTCAATGGGTAAAGGGAGAAGTAGCAAAAAGGGCCGAGGCGGGGGCTAATAGGTCGAGTGGCCGTTCCCTCCAACGTCAACAACCAGCCATCCACACCATCCAACTAAAGGACGAATTAACCGTTTTCCACCAACCTTCCGTGCTTCTTCGACGCCGTTTTGACGGTGCCTCCCGCCCTCGCCTGGCTGCGGCAAACACCGCTGGAATAGTTGTAGTGTAACGTCGTGGCTTCCGACTAGCTCGAATCTTCGTGCGTTGGTGAGGTGCTTTTGCTTTTGCATTGTCGTGCCTACGTAGTAAGGTACCAGCTGAGGGAAGCGAAGCGGCGCAGCAATGTAACCAGTGATAAGCTGCAACGACCGAGAGCCCATTCGTAGGAATCCAAGCAATGGTACGGGTACGGTTGTGTAGGTCTTGATACTCCACAGCGACATGATCGATTCATCGATGCCATCACAATGGATAGCCAGGCTGGTGGATGGGATGCCTCTCCATCCCGGCCCTCACGTCTTATCGTGGTCTCATCTGAACCACCGCACAGAGTTTCTTTCTCTATTCTTCCGGAGCGGCTCCCTCCCACATGCCAGTCCCACCAAATATGCTTCTTGGCGGGAGCACAGTGAAAGGGTAACACTTTCACACGCGACAGCGCACGGCCAATGCCGAGAGGGATCCCCGGATTGGTATTCGTATACGGAGTCGGTCACTCGCCTTGCCACCAGCATCCCCCCGCCACTACCATATTGCCTGCTCAGAGCATGAGATTGGACTTTGATGGGGGGGAGCATGGATCAAATGTCCCTACATGGCGTAATTGTGTACCAACTCTATTGATCAGAGACTCGATCGACCAAAGCGAGTGAGACACGGGCTGCTCCTCCTTCTGTAGGCTGGTGTGTCGCACCACGATGAAGCCATCGCGATTGCGACGGGGGGTGGATTTGCAAAGGGCCCAACGTCCAAGATACTCCGTACCATTGCCAGACCTGAATCTCGCAAAGACTGCAGCCGCATTCGCTCATGTTCAAAAAGTTCCCCAAAGACGTCTCCCCGCTATTGATATCTTGGACCTGCCATACTGGATCAAGCCACTGGAGGGCCCAACTGCTTGGCATCACCAGCGGAAGCGCACTTGACCCCCCAGATAGGCGGTTTCCTGCGTGTTGGCCGCTCTGTCTGGTCCACGGGAAAGTCCAGCAGCTGGTGAGCCTGTTCTCCTCGTAGCCAGGCACACCAGGATCCCTCATCTCTGGAGGCCCATCTGTGCTGTGGGTTCCTGGGTCAGTGGGTGCCGAATGCAACTGGACCCCGGTGGGTGGCCGGGAGGAGGAGTGGGAGGAGGTGGGGTTTTCCTTTCCGCCCATCGGCCCACGACTAGGAATCTGGAGCCTGAAGGACACCAAGGGAGAAGAAGGCAGAAAAAAAGACGAACTGAACCGGCATGTTAGAACGACATCTCAGGCATATGGTTTGGTCGAAGGAAGTCTGTGTCTCTGTACGTACTGGGATAGACGCTGTGGCTCTCTCTTGTTGGTCTTTCTCACTCTCTCACTTCCTCCATGCCATCGTCTCACGGCCTCTCATCTCATCCTATTCTTTCAGTGCAGCCGCCCCCCGGCAGATTGCGCCCAATGCGGCTATAGTGCGAATGCAGACCGATCCCTCCTACCGCGTCCCAGAACCTTTGATATCGGTCTTGTCGCAATGCAGAAGGTAGACCTCCCTGTCACAAGGGTTGCACTGGGGTCTCCGGACGCACAAGCAGAGGAGGAAGGGTGACGGGCTGGAGTTCCAGCCCTGAACATGATCATCCCTGCCACCTCAAGTCTGATTCCAGAAAGGGGAAGCTCACTGGTTTGACTGGCCCAGCACCATCTCGGCCTCTCATCTATGTTAGGCGCATGGGGATCTCTGCTGTTACCTGTATCCTTGGGATCGTCTCGTGGCGAAACTGGGACCACCGTCGTGTCCGTTCGTTGCCAGGCCGTTGGGAACCCTTGGCTCCACCGTCGATAAGCATCCGGTTGTGTGACAAGGATGGCCACCTCGGGGCTCTTGGATATTAAAAGGTCGAGATGTCCTCTCCCTCCACCTGCCTCTCGTCTCTTTCTCGGTCACTGGCAACTTTCCAGCCCAAGCGTCCACGGGTCCACCGAACCAAGCTTCTACAACCTTTTCAAGGTGAAGAATACTGACCCAGTGCATCAAAATGTCCGACATTCGTGAAGCACGAGCCCCCGTCCACCAGGGCGGTGTGGTCTCGAACGAGAAGGTCTCGACCGAAAAGACTGCTCCTGTAAGTTGGTCTGGATGTCGACGATCATCAACATACCTCTCCATTGCTGAACCATATGCTGATGCTTTCCCTAAGATCGTCGATGCCCACCCCGATGGGGCCGACTACAACGAACACGTTGAGCACGACTTCAACGTCACGGAGGATGATTTGCTAGAGGCCAAGGAGCTCGCCTCGCAGATGTCCCTCGAGGAGGTTCGCGAGATGATGTTCAACGTCCACAAGATCCACGAGAAGGACCCCAACTTCCCCATCGCCATTATCGAGAAGATTGAGGACTTCCTCCACAACGATGATGTCTTTGAGAACCCCGAGAAGCACGAGACTCTCATTCAGGAGATGAAGCTCGAAGCCGCCCTCATCACCGGTAACTCGCCCTACGCCGAGGTCCGCGCCGTCGTCGACAACCACGACGATCCCACCATGCCCAGTTCGACCCTCCGCGCCTGGGTTATCGGCCTCGTCTTCTCTGCTCTGCTCGCCTTCGTCAACCAGCTCTTCTCGGTCCGCTACCCGTCCATCACCATCCTGGCCAACGTTGCTCAGTTGCTCGCCTACCCCCTAGGTAAGCTGTGGGAGAAGTCCCTCCCCGATGTTGGATTCACCGTCGCCGGCCACCGTTACTCGCTGAACCCTGGCCCGTTCAACCGCAAGGAGCACATGCTCATCACCATCATGGCCAACGTCGCCTACAACATCCCCTACACCAACTACATCATTTGGACGCAGTGGCTGCCCAAGTTCTTCAACCAGAGCTACGCTGCCAACTTTGGCTACCAGCTTCTCATCTCCTTGTCGACCAACTTCATCGGATATGGTCTTGCGGGTCTCTGCAGAAGATTCCTCGTCTACCCCTCGTACTGTGTGTGGCCAGCATCCTTGGTCACCATTGCCTTGAACTCTGCTTTCCACACCGACAAGAACTCCACCGTCGATGGCCCCTTCAACAGCATCTGGCGCTGGAGCAGACAGAAGTTCTTCTACATCACCTTTGCCGCCATGTTCGTCTGGTTCTGGTTCCCCAACTACCTGTTTACGGCCTTGTCCACCTTTAGCTGGATGACCTGGATCGCCCCCAAGAACCGTAACCTCGCGACAATCACTGGCTTCAACAGTGGTCTTGGTCTCAACCCCTTCCCTACTTTTGACTGGAACATCCTGTTGTACGACAACACCGACCCCCTCATGGTCCCCTTCTTCTCCACCTTCAACAAGTTCCTCGGCACCTTCATCTCCATGTTCGTCGTCTTGGCTGTTTGGTACACCAACACCTACAACACCGGATACCTGCCCATCAACTCCAACAAGGTATACGATCACTTTGGCGCTCTCTACAACGTCTCCCGCGCCGTCAACGAGCACGGTCTGTTCGATAAGGAGGCGTACGAGGCGTACTCTCCCCCCTTCTTGGGCGCTGCCAACGTCATGATCTACATGTTCTTCTTCGCCATCTACACCGCCACCATCACCTACGCCGCTCTCTACCACCGTCACGAGATCGCCCTTGGCTTCAAGGCTCTCATCGGTAGCTTCAGAAAGAACAGCGACATTGAGAAGGACCAGGTCCTTGACGTCCACAGCCGTCTGATGAAGGCTTACCCCGAGGTCCCCGAATGGCACTACCTCACCGTCCTCGTCATTGCCATTGCGTTGGGCTGTGCCGGTATCGCTGGTTGGCCCACATACACCACCGTCGGGGTCGTCTTCTATGGTATCATCCTCTGCATGATCTTCGTCGTGCCGGTTGGTATCATCAAGGCCATGACAGGTATCGAGGTCACCCTGAACGTGCTTGCTGAGTTCATCGGTGGTTCCTGGGTTGAGGGTAACGCCCTGGCCATGAACTACTTCAAATCATTCGGGTACGTCACCTGCGCTCACGCCGTCTGGTTCTCCAACGACTTGAAGCTTGCCCACTACGTCAAGATTCCCCCTCGCCACACCTTCTGGGCTCAGATCGTCGCGACTTTCGTGTCCACCCTCGTCTGTCTCGCCGTCCTGAAGTTTCAGATGTTCAGCATCCCGGGTATCTGCACTGAGGACGCCAAGTTCAAGATGACCTGCCCCGGTATCAACACCTTCTTCACCGCCTCTGTCCTTTGGGGTACCGTCGGTCCCAAGAAGATTTGGGGTGCTGGCGGACAGTACACTGCCACCCTCCTCGGCTTCCCCCTCGGTGTCGCCATCGTTCTCTTCTTCTGGAGCTTGAACAAGTTCTTCCCTAAATGGAAGTGGGTTCGCCAGATCCACCCCGTCGCCATCATGTACGGAGGTCTCGTCTGGGCCCCCTACAACATGTCCTTCGTCTGGCCCTCCGTCCCCATTGCCTACTTCTCCTGGGTCTACCTCAAGAGCCGCTTCTTGGGTCTGTGGTCCAAGGTTCGTTGCTTCCCTGCCACCACTATTCGCATTCTGAGGCTAACACTCACGTCCAGTACAACTTCGTTCTCTCCGCCGCTTTCTCTTGCGGTATTGCCATCTCCTCCATCATCATGTTCTTCGGCCTTCAATGGCAGGATATCGAGGTCGACTGGTGGGGCAACTCAGTCGTACGTTTTTTCCGGCTCCCAACTTAATCTTATAGAACACTACTGACATCACTCTCCTCACAGGTCAGCCAGGGTTGCGAAGGCAAGGCTTGCCGTCTGCTTACTCTTGCAGAGGGCGAGTACTTCGGTCCCCGCATTGGAGACTTCCACTAGACGTGGAGTTTTCCTTCGTGTTGCACAACTAAGTTGCGTTTGTGGCTTTTTGTTTCGAATTTCAGCGCATGTATGATGTGATGAAAAGAACGTGGAGACTAGAGACATCATGGACTCGTACCTAGAAGCGGTGTTTATAATCAGCGGATGTGACGATTTGAAGGATGAAGAAAATACCCAACCACTCATTTATGACTTAGTGGAAGAATGTTATACCCCCATTGAGCAAGCTCAGTCTAGCCTTTGCCCTATGTTCTTTGATGCCGTGTTATGCGTATCGAAGTTGAGGGCTATTCGGTCGTTCTATCCCAGCATTCTTATCATTTCAAAATGTCGATCTAGGAACACTGGCCAGTGATTGTTCTCGGGAGGCACTCGCCTCATTTTATGCGTTCAAATCCCAATGGTTCATGCTTGTCGTGGACATCTCTATTCCCCTTGAGCTCACGTATCTTCAGGGCCGTATATAACGAGATTTGCCAACGCCGATGCCGCGGGGTCGGCAGTCGCTCGGTGCCGGGCCGGCGTGGCTATGCTGGGAAAAGGGTGCCTCATTGGGTCGCTTAGACGATGTCCACGATCAATCCACGATCTCGTTGATCAGGCTCGGTACTGATCTCTGAGACTTTGCTGACCTTGAAGACAGGTTACTGAAATGTGGGATCTGGAGATGTTGGCGATATGACTCCCAAGATAATTAAGACACGAAATTATGGCTCCAGGTGTGTCAAGAAGTTGTCGTCACCCTAAATTGTGTCAGCCTTACGTTATTCGGCGATAAATTCGACTGAAGCACAAGCACACGTACTCTCGACGACTCGCTGCGTGCAAAGGAAGAAAAAACGGAACATCAGACTAACCTCCGCGGTATGACGACGACGAAGTCAACCAGATGCGTGACGCAAGGAAAGCTCCGGCTCCGTCTCTGTGATTTGGCTGTCCATGCCTAACAGACTTTAGGAGACACCACGGCTTTCTCTTCGTGCCTCGTCTTCCCCATCATCGACTTTGAGCGGGCCTGGTGCCATCGAGTTGGGCCTAATATCTGGCGAAGGATGTTTTTTGAACGCATTGTGGGGGCTTTGGGGATTCATTGAAGCCGTCGATGCTTTCTTCAAATTAACACCAAGCATGAGATGAACGTGCAAGTAATACCGGCAGCAGGTATCAACCCAAATAGTCAAACATGACAACGAAGACGTTCGTTTAGAGGAGTAAGCCTCTTTAACATGGACCAATCCAGCAATTTAATAAAGTTACAAGCTAAACCAATCAAGGCGTACACTGACGATATTCTAGGACCAACGTTAGCCCGGCTTACATTGGGCGTCTCGGCTGCTGACTGCCTCACCGGGCGACTACCGAG